ATTTCCAAGATCCTCGCTTTCAGGTGAGTCATCTTTGACTTTTATCTCAAATACTTTACGTCTTTCCGCAGTGCTTGGCGTTTTCGGTTTATAACCAGAATCACTTGAATTAGCATCCTCCTCCAAAGAACTAGAATCGCTTTTTCCATTTTCCGCTTCTTTCATACGCTCATTATTAAATGATGGCGATTTCTCTGATTCTGTATTATTCTCTATTTGATTGTTCAGGTCATTTTGGTAGCCGTTAGTATCACTATTCGGTGCAACAGGGACCGAAAATATCTTGTCGAATGAAAATTCTTGACTGCCAGACTTTGCTTGAAATGGTTTTGGTCCAAGTCGGGGCTAAAAACAAAGAAATAATAAGAATTATTTTTTGTTCTTCTAATAAAAATCTATTCGTAATAAGCTACTTATAGTGATTATGACTGTAATGAAATAAATGAAACGGTATATAAGGGCACACGATATCATCAAGCATACAGAAGTAGAACATTTTGTAAAATGAAATTCTTTTCATAACACTATTATTTTCTCTTATAGCCAGATTACAACCTTATATCCCCCAATCGCATTAGGGTTCACGGATGTAACTACTGAACCCACGCTTGGCGATGTACGAGGACGTGCAACTGGCTTCGGTTCATCCTCGGAAATGCTATTAGTTCTTGACGACCTTGGCAGAGGCTTCGGTGGAATCACTTGCCCTCCGTTCTGCACTTTATTTTTGTCATCCTCAACCTCGATTTTCTTCATATCTTCTAACTTTTCGATATCGTTCTCGAGCATTGGCTCTTTCTCGATCACCTCTTGCGTCTTTGCGTAAGTTTTCGGCGTGGTGACGGTGGTAGGTTTGGTCGATTGCTTCTGCTCCACTTTTATTTCTCGTTCATTTTCTTTGAGCGTCGCTAAGTTTCCCTTATGTACCTGAGAGTAAATTCCTTAATAACGCAAACTGTTTGAACGAAATTAGCAAAGTCCAACATCCATTTTCAAGATTTTCTTTCTACGTCAATGATATACGTAATTTCTACAAGCTTGTCACATGTACATACGCATTATCTGCACATTTGTAATTGCGGAGAAAATATAAGGGAACAATGCAAATAAACAACAATCTCGAAACCTGTTTTTTCTACACCTAAACGTAGCAAAAAGTTTGAGAATGTATGTACAAAAAGAAAGAGTATATCGAAGCATTCGCCTAAGAACACAAGAATAACTATGTCTCGCGCATACGTAGAATTACTTACGCTGATAGAATAAGCTACAGAACATCAATTGCCACTTAAATTACACGTGCCAGGAATAACACTTTGAATGGTGCTAATGTATAAACTATAAAACATACATTGGATATCTGAAACGTGAAAAAATATACACAGAACATGAGAAAATAAAATCAAATGATGCAAAATAAAACGTACATTATCAGCCAAAACTTTTTTCTTAAATAAAATGCATATAAAAGATTATGAACTTACAGCACAAATAATGAAAATATTTAGATCATGTTCTACTTCTATATTATTCTCATATGCATATGTATATCACACAAATAGCAAAATATCAGAAAATGCAATTTTAATCTTCATGATGTATTCATTAATTTTACATTACTTAATTACATTATCTGATACATTGTGCTATTATTCATTTTGCACTATAATGTATAATAAAAATTAATTGTAAATACAATCGAATGTCACACAACACATTTAAAAAAATGTTTACAAAAAGACATTTTCAAAAACTTGTTTCAGAACTAGCAAATTGGATAGCAAAATGGGTAATGAAATGAAATGGAATGATGATGATAAGCGTGCAATTTAATAAAATCATATATTCATAAAAAATGATAAACTTTATTATAATTTTCTATGTCCTCTATGAAAAATCCTACTATGTTTTATACATCTTTTAAACCTAAAAGTACCCAAAAATCTATAGAAATATTTACTTACAGCAATAGGTTCCTCCCCTTTATTTCTTTTAGCAGGATCTAAGGATATTTTTGGAACAGGCATATTGTGTCCTTTAATCCAGGCTGCTGCATTATTTTGTGCAATACACCCTACTGTATCTGGGTATATATCTGCATGGAAATCCCTATACGTCTAGAATAGAAATTTCGGTATTTCTTATCTCTCTGAAATATGTTACAAACTGCATTTTTATACTACAATGCACTTACTTTTCGTGGAACTTGATACATAATAGGTATCACCATATTAGACGTAAGTTGCAGTAATCTATTAACTTCGGCTTGCATCACATTTAATGCTCGTTTTGGTACCAAACATACTCCTTTTGTTTGCTCTCCACTGTGACGAATGCCTTCAACTAGGAATGGATCTTTATCCATAACTTCCATGTACATAATAGTAGTATCTCCTTTGCCAGCCAGGAAAAGCATGTTTGTATCGGGATCAAACAGAGGCATTAAAATCCTATGGAATATACTTTATGTTTATGGTAAAATCAATTTAATAAGATTATTCATTAATAAATTCTCACCCTGTGCTACAATCCAATTCTAACATTTTTACTGGTTCATTTAGATGCCTCAAATCTCTTATATAAACCTGTCTTAATCTAGCTGCATCAAATCCAGTAGTAAGTATTCTGTCACTATTATTCAGCCAAACACATCTAGAATCTTTGATACTTTGATGACTGGAACAAGAATTGACGATGCAAGTAGAAGCGCGAGCATCTATTATTCTCAGTTGTTTGTCTTTGCAAGATGTAGCTAAGATCACACCATCTTGCTTCCAACTTAAAGACTGAATTACATCTGTATGTTCATTATTGGCTGTAATATAATAAAGCAGTATTAACTAAATTGGAAATTATTGGAAAACGTTTCACCTAGTAAAAAATATCATATTGTAATTACAAAATAGTTCTTGTTGTGAAATCACATCCCATAAAGACAGGTTCGTATATGATACTGTTGTTAAAAGGTGTTCAGCTGAAGGGTGCCAACACACTACCTCTACTCTTCTTTGACGGTGGGAGAATGTACATTCAGGATTACATAGAGGTTCTTCCAAGCCAGCTTCTGGAATGTGCCACAACTTGACCTACAATAAATAACATAATAATTTATAAGATATCTAATTAAATACTAAACAAAGTTATAAAACAATATATAAAAAAATTATGTGAAAAACATTATGACTTACAAGACAATCTTGTGAACCAGTGGCTAATAAACCATCATGAAATGGAGAAAAATCCATATCTGTTACTGTATCTGCATGAGCATGAAGTAAAGGCATAGTTTTACTTTTTCTGCCACAATCCTCCAGTGGTAACACAGCAAGATTAGATCCTGATTGAAAAAAACAAAAAAAGATATAATTTAACAAAAAAATATGGAATATATAATTTATATTAAAATATATAAATATACCATTATGATCTACATTAAATGCCATAAATGCAGCAGATGCTGCAATATTATTGCCGTAAGTTTGATACGAGCCAACTGAGATGTCTCTAATGCAGGCCTCTGGTTTAGGAACAATTGGAGCTGCATTTTTATATTTGGATGCTTTGAAACGCCAAGCCATTTTGACGTTTTCAACTTTACACTTTCTGGACTAACTTCTGTTTAAACCATGTAATCTGATAAAGATAATGTTACACGTAAACAAGTTATTTTAATTAAAGCGGTGTTCAATAACTGTTTTTAGTAAAAAAAATATAAGAAAAATGTGGATGAATATATCGTTATTTATTATAAAAGTTTTGTTAAATTTTGTGATTAAGTGATTTATTGTTGTTATCTAGATGTGTAGAAAAGATAACGCTAACGGAGGGTTTCGACACTGGTACAAGCTGTGCATGACTAATAATTTGGGGGTGAGAACCACCCCACCCTTATCTGTCGTAAATGTCGTAACTCCGCAAGTAATAACAATGACAATGAAATATAATTTCTGAAACGAAGAAAAATGAAATTCAGCAATGCTCCTACTCACAAGCTGCTGATTGGCGTGGCTTTGCACGCGTTTCACGAGATATTTGCACAGAATACAATTTAACAAAGAACCAGCTACTATAAACACAACGACGATGGCAGGTAGGCGTCTCTGATCTCCACGGCTGACAGGCGGAAACAGGAAAGTCCCCCCCACCAAAAAACTTTTTCTATCTTTGTCGATCACAAGTAACATCATACAATGTGTCCCAAAGAAATAAAATGTCATATAGAAACAAGAAATAAAAGGGTTGAAGTCCGAGAAAAACTTTTATCAATAGGAACGTAAAAAATTCAAATTATCTATAACTGTTTTCAGTACTTAGAAAATATCATAAAATATTCTAAAAAACTTAATCTTAAAGGAATATATTGTATATCTTATTAAATCTGAATAAAATGTATTACATAGTAAATAATTAAAAACCAAAAGCATAATTTATCCAGAGCTCAATATACGTAAGTTCATAGTAAAATAAAGAAGAGAAGTGATATTTCAAATTATTATATAAAATTGTTCTTGTACTAATAATTATTTGAATTGAATTATAAAAGATAAGTTCAACTATTGAATAAAAAATTTAATAATCTTATATTCTATTAAAATGTTTATCACATTTTTAGAATATATATTTTTATTAAACACACGTACATTTGTATTTGTAAGGCACCCTATATATGTCTAGTTACGTTCGGAAATCAGCTGCTAGTATAGAGAATATTGGTCGTTGTTCCAGCCATATGTGAAAGAAATGGCGATAATTTTATCATTGACGAAATTGATGATGTCGACGGATTTATGAGTTTCTTAAATTATTCAATTATCGGAGTGTTTAAAATGTTTGATCATCCAACGAGTTGCTGAATAATCTGAATTATTGTAATAACAATCCATAAATCATGGACAAGAGATAAAGACGTATATCAATCTGCGCAAACGCAAGAGGAGAGATTATTCCTACTTAAATTTGAAATGTATATTTAAATCAAGTTCTCATGTATCTCCTTTTTCTCATTTACTGTTATTCTCTTAACAAAGCCAATTGCAATAATGGAACAACCTTTAAAGAGGACAAGTCTGCCAAAACAGCCTGGAAATAAGTAATTAGCAAAATAAATTTAAATAAATAAGAAGTAGTAAATAAATAATTGGCAGATGAATAATTAATATAAAATCTATTTCTACCTCAACACTTTGTTGATTATTAACTTGCATTAAATTTTCTTTTCGAAAGCTCAAAATAGTGACCGCGAGTAAAGGGATAATTTCTAACGAATCGTATGCTAAAATTAAGTCCCAGAGGCAAAGCAACTGTTCTGGCGGTAAATGACCACTGAAGCCTCTCATGATCCACTTAAAAACAATTCTTACCCTAAAAATAAATATCGTTTAATGATGGTATGAATGTACAAAATAAATTGAACTTACGGTTGTATGTGAATGTTTCTAAAGTGAATCCAAAGCAATGGTTCGTGGCACTGCAGTAACCTCTCAAAAAGCAAACACAGTGCTACAATACCTTGTTCGTGGCTAGATACGGTGTGCAATCGAAACCAATATCGTAAATAAAAAGCTCGAAACGTATAATACATTGCGCACGGGTCATCGTATAGGTAACAAAATGGCGTAGCTAAAATATTATATATATATTATATATAATATTAATAATATTAATAATATTTAAATCACATCTTCATTGAATTTTGTATATTCTTATGGACTAGTATTTCTTATGGTCATAGATTTCTTCATATTGATTTCAAACAGTGCTTAATATATTATACCATACATCGTGAATCCATGAAATGGAATCACACCGCTTGGTGGGAAGACTAGGGTGTTTTCCAAAGTGGCTGGCTTTCCTTGTAAAACAGCGTGTATGACTTGGCCTCCAGCACTTCTGTCAGTTGTAACTGGTGCTAATACTTCCGAATCACGAGAAAAACATAACATTGTTTTATATAAAACGTCTTCGAACACAAAATACTGATCGTCATTTCGTGCTGTTAACTGCACATCCTAAAATAAAAGTAATTGGATATATAATTTGGGAGAATGAACGAAAAAAAATTTTAAAATTATTTAAAAAACTTAAGATTTACCTTGATTATCAATTTATCTATAACGATATCGTACTGTAACACCATATTTTTTAATTCTTCATAATATTCTATATCCTAAAAAATATTCAGACTGTAATTTTTTTCTTAAGAAAAGAAACAACATTTAACAACATTTTTACATTTTGTTTTACTGTGGATCCTAATACAAGGGACCAAAGACTGCCACGAAGTGCTCGAGGAGCCCCACGCTTTAAGAATTGTTGCGCTATCGGAGCGTGATTCGTTTTCAATACCTTCTCACCGATGAAAATCCTCTCCTCTTCTAGATTTCCAAAATTTTCTGAACTTGGCATGTCTGGATTTACACCAAGTAATGACATACCCTTTGCTAACTCCAAATACACGCGTCTCTATTAAAAAAATAATAATAATAATTCACTATTCATATTATCTGTAATTCGAACATATCTATTTATTTAAAAAAAGTATAACAAAAAATGGTATACCAATTGCGTGAGTGTTTTTACACGAATTTGTATATGACTGAACTCCCAATTCAATTCGTCCCTGGAAAATTGTTATTTTTTATTAAGATTGAGAAAAAAATGTGATTTTTATTTAAAAAATAATGCATATTTACGAATGTTTTTTGAAAGCTGGATTTCGTATAGAAAACAGTACATCTAAAAAATCTTTTGGGGCATAAAGAGGTCTATATTGTGACAGATCTAAATATTAAATAAAAGAAAATTTAAATTTATTAGGATAATCATTTCAGTACTTTTGCTAGAATTTTTATTCACTGAATCAATATTAAAGTCACCGATATCATAAGTGCTTAATTCATTCCATTTTTCAGCAAATTCTTCGCGATCTGCGTTCGGTCTTATGCGTGCTAGTGGCACATTTAATTCATTGCAGGTTGAATTTAATGACTTTTGTATTCTACGTTCCCATTGAATTTGAGCTTTTTTCAAATAAGTTAGATCTACTTCTTCCATGGATATTTCTGTTGCAGTTGATAAAGAACCCTAAAAATATTTAGTTAAAAGGAAAGTTCACGTTTGGACAATAAGTTCTGAATAGATAAAAATTAATAAAAATTATGTCTACCTGTGATCTGACCCAATGAAATACAGTATTTCTAATTTCTGTTTCTAAACCATTACTTTTTAACGCCTCCAGTAATGTATTTTTAAAGTCTTCTCTCTTTACTGCAGTAGAAGCAACAAGTTTCTAAAAAGAGGTTAAAATTGTCTGTAGCGTTTTTGATTTTTCGAATACTTTGCATTTCAGGTTCCACATTAAAAGCAGCTCTATATTTCTTTGTAATCTTATCTTTAATTAGAATTACCCTTCTTATTTTTTAAATAGATAAACTTTCTTAAATATTCAAATCTTTGTTTTGAAAACGTTATCAATTTTTGTTATTAATGAGGCTAATGATTATATTTATGTACTTTGTGAGTACCTGAATTTCAGCATAAAGACTTTTATAATTGGCCATACTTTGAATTTCCTCCGTTAATTTTTCCGCAGATCTTTGTAATGATGTTTTCTTAGAGTTCTCCGCATTTTCAGTCATAGCTGTATACTTAGAGAATTCTTAATCAGCCTGAATCGTTTTATAATCAAATCTGAAAAATGATCGCCATTTGTAAATAAATTCATTCCCGCAGTCGCAGTGATGAACAAAGGGGTGAGTTGTCAGCCGCGCGATCGAACATTCAAACTTACTTTAGAAATAGCTCACTTAAGTCTTTCATGACCTCAGCAATGTTTTTTATATTGATAAATAAATAGTAATTTACATTATATCATCGTCTCTGTTCCTGCAAAATGTTTCGTACTGGTTTACATATATATATATATATATAACTTATTTATTTTACATCATTAAATACAATTTTTCTTGTGAGATACTGATTTACGTTACTGTATTACAGAATAATTGCATGTAATAAAACTTACTTTATCATTTTTTTGGCTGGGAGGCTAAGAAAGAAACTATCATTATTATTATTATTATTACTATTTACCGTTCTTTTGAATATATAACTTTACAATCCTTAATTATATGTATGAAAATATCTCAACGAATTTTTTTAGTATTCTTTATGTGATAAAAATTGTGTCAAACTTAAATGACTTCAGAATGTTGTTTAACAATTAAGAAAAGTATGCCTTTTAAAAAGTTTATCTCCTTAGAGTTTTACAATTACTCAGACAGGCTCAGATAGAGGATTTTCCTTACAGCATATCTTTTTGAACGTTCGAAAGATCCCATGGCGAAATTGCAGGCCGGTGCGCTTGCAGGAAAATGGCGGTGCGATAACCTGTGTTTTGAAACGTAACGTTGTATGTTATCGCTTACACGAATGGATATCTCAAACATGCTTGAAGTACAAGTGGACGAAGTGAAGGAGGTAGACATTAAAGAAAACGGTGAGGTCGCGAAGTCTCGCGAGATGACTTTCTATGAATTATCGTGAAATATAATATCTAACCTTCATATTGCAGTAACTCCCAAGGAATTACTTCCGACTACCACTAATGTTCCAATACCTATTTCTCAAGAGGAATATAATTATTACAAGCTTATGTTTGGCAATGGTAAATTTATAATATTTATTCACAATTCATTTTCATCGTCTGTTAACTTCTTCTTTCTCAACATATTTGTTTTTAACATTATTTGATACAACATGTTGCTTTTTTTTGTATATTTTTACGATGTAAAAATGTTCACGTGAATTTAAAAAAAAACACAAATGTGATAACAGAAGTTATGTTCTAAGATACATATACTGCAATTCTTTATTTTACAGAATTTTTGATAGAAAAAACATACAATAGTGATCTAGTGAGATACACGTATGTTTTCTAAGTTGTATTCAATGCTACAAATATAATTTCATAAATTAAGTTTTTAAGTTCTTAATGTATAATAAGACTTACAAGTCATAGGAGAGTAAACTTTTAAAAAATTATTAAATTGATGTGTTTTAGATATCTCAGTAGTGCAGTTCCAAAGACTGCATTGTACCGCATGCGATGCACACATTGGCTCTGCACCAGCAGATGCTCATAACATGTTTGAACATCCTGTATTACATACATTACTGTGTGCAAAATGCAAAGATTTCTATGGCGATGGCACTTTTGAACAAGGTATATACTTTATTGGTATCTACATCTAAAAACTCAACAAAATTTGATGGGCTTTCTTAATTATATTTTACAGGTGATGATGATACAGATATGTTTTGTAGATGGTGCGCAAATGGTGGTAACTTATACTGCTGTTCCTTTTGTAGTAACACTTTCTGTTACAAATGTATTAAAAGAAACTTTGATCCCATATTGAGAAAAAAAATTGAAGCAGTTGAGAGATGGAAATGCTTTGTCTGTGATCCCACAGATTTGTATAATGCTAGAGGAACTTGTTGGGCCTTGCTTCAGCATATTCAAACGATAAATAGGTAAACAATTACTAAAATAGAAATAAAAAAATAAAAAATTTCTCTTAAATTTAATTACATGTATTTTAAATGATTGCAGAATATATCAAAATTGTAAGTTGCCTCAAGAGGAAATAGACGATAAAATGAACACTGACGAATCGAAATGCTGTCCGCGCAGAAGAAAACGGAAGCGTCGACGAAATGGCTCGAATTCGGAAGAAGAGGATGAAACTTACATACCCAAACAAATAGCACCAAATGCTATTCCCAAACGCAAAAAAAAGGGTCGTGGCAAAACAAAATTTTCCAACGGTAATAGTATATCTATGTCTGATAAATATATCGGAATATCAGACGACACTTCCACGGATAACAATAGAATATTACCATCTTTACTCTCATGCGAGCAAACGATGGTTGAATGCGAAAATACCACTATTGGAGCGGACGGTACTATTATCTCGCAATCTCAAGTAAACCCTGGTCATCATAGAATGAATCTCCCCATTGCTCAACAGCCAACGATGTATAACACGGCTGTTATGAATGTTGTTGCAAATTCTAATTTTTTGCAATCTTCATCACCTATTGCACCTCGTCGTCATGTATCTACTTCGCTAAACCAGACGAATCAAATGAATTTATACCAGACACTACATTCTACGCCAACGTCAATGGTTACTATACCTAATCAGAACATTAACTTAATACATCGACCACGCTTCTTTTTGCCTAAGCCGCAGGCACCGCGTACAAACACGAACTTGAATATCATTGAGATCGAAAGTGATTCAGAAGACGTAGCGGTTGTCGGTCCGTCAGGAGTTCCACGACCTACTAGCAGTTCCAATAGCAGTTCCAATAGTAATGACAAAGCAGTACCTGTTGCTCTTCTAAGTTCATCTTCTAAGAATAATTATACTATTACAGTGAAACAAGATGTACAAAAAAGGCATAACGCGAAAACATTAAACCAAAGGTTACTTCCTCATGGCAAAGAGATTAATAGTATTCTACTTCATCTAAAGATGAAATTCCAAGATTTGTTCGATACGGCTAAACGAGAGGAATTTAAAAACTATGAACCGACCGACGCTCGTCTTTTAATCAAACAGTTTCATTCTGACATACGCGATACTGTGACTCAATTAGCGTACATTAATGACAGAATAATACGTGAATATAATAGGTGGAGAAAATATTCAACAAAAATGGGACTTACTCAGTCTATAGATAAGAATAATATTCGCAAGACTTATCGCGGAAAGCGCGAAGAAATACCTCTTGATATGATTTGCGTAAATGAATCCGACGAGGATTCCAATATTAACGATGAAATGGAGTACGGTATTATGGGCCCATCTGATCTGGTTGGTAATACAAATGTGGTCGATGGAATAAATTTCTTCAAAAAGAGAAGCACTATAGAACGAGCTGTAGGCAACCATTCTGTTCTATTGGTAGATAAATCTGTACAAATAAATTCTGCGGAATTGGAAAATTATGATAGGTCTATATTGTATTTTGCGTTGACAAAAAGTAATAAACAATCGGGGAAAAAGGATAATGTTTCGATATCGTCTGTAAAAAAGGGCAATAAGCAATCTGGCAGTTACGAAGATCATTTTATTCAGTTCTTACAAAAACAGAGTGTGAACTCTCAAAGTAAGCAAGCTGAAAATTCTGAAGAGTTGCCTGATCCAAACGAAACATCATTAAAGGATCTAATAGAAGCTAATTCGCCATACGTTTCTGAAATGCTAGAAACTATGGATAAGTCAACTGCTTCAAGTAGCAATATTTCAAGTAGCAATATTTCAAGTATTTCTGTTAAGAAGGAAAGCGATCTGAAGTTCTATGAATCGCGACAGGGAAACTCAATTATTTGCAGAGTTGTTGATGATGTTTCGAAAATGGTTAGTAGTATAAATGACGATTTAGTTAAAAAGACTGCCGCGAATGAATTTATTGATAATAATTCGAGGAAAGAAGCTAAAACACAAAAAGGACATTTTTCCATTACAGGTGAAGTTGATATAGTAAATGTAACAAAAAATAAAGGACAACATTTGAGCATAACCAGTACTATAGAATCTGAAGATGACTGTACTATTATTGATGATTAATTAAAAAATAGTTATTTAACATCTTTCGTGAGTTTCATTAGTACTTTAATCGAATTATTTTCTATTTATTATTTATGATTAATCAGTTGTGCGAGTATTGCTTTGAAAAATTATAAGTATAGAAATCAGTATCACAGAAAACACCTTATCATTTCTATTTATCTTTACATGATGATACGATATTTTGAATTTGTCATAGCAATTCTCGTACATTTGACTGTACTAAAAAATTCCTAATTGATCACTCAATATCTTTAAGATACATAGGTATATATTTTTCACGAAATTTTTGGAAACTGTTTTGTTAATTTATTAAGCTATATACTAATTAAAATTATAGGTAATACCAATTAATAGGATAAGAATACCAACAATATTGTTTATTTTTAGATAAGTAGAAAGTTGTCATAGTTTTGTTTTGTACAAATATTATACGAAATGAATGATGTAAAAAGTCCTAATAATGTTTTTTTTACATAATTGATAATTGTTAGAGCAGGAAATTTCTTGCACAAATTCAGCTTATAATAATTTTTGTACACTTATTATTTTCGGAATTATCGAATAAGATGGAGAACTTGATGTATGAATACTTTTAATGTCAGTATAGATATGTTTCGCATGGTTATCTAACGATATAGTTACATTTACATAAATATTAAATGTTCAATCATTATAAGCGAATAGATAAGCAAGAATGGCGGAAAAGAAGGCCACGAAAATGTTGAACATGTTTTATATATACTAACGTATTATATGTATAATATCATGTTAAAATAATTCAAGCTATAGTAAATGGCAAATTCATCTGTTAACTTTAAGTAAAGCTGAATCTGAAGAATAAATTTCTTTCAAACCGTTAAGCATAGCTATTTTTCATAGACTCTGTAGCAAAGTGTCTTCTGGTTGTTTTTCGTTGGGAGGGAGGGGAGATTTAGAAGGAAGAAAATTTTGGGAAAATTGGTATTCTTTCTTTGTTCGATTTCAATTGCATCTTGAATTTAAAAGCTTAGATTTTGCTTAATTTCATTTATTTTTTGTCGTCTGTGTGTATACACATTTCGACCCCAAAAATCAATATATTACTTTCTTTTATCTTTCAGTTAAAGTCTTATACCCTACACATGGAGGCAAATATTTTTCAGTAGATACATACAACAAGTCTGTAGAAATTTTTTCTTATAAATACATTATGAACACGTAACACCTACGTGATCGCAGTCAAGTATACAAAGAATTGAAACGCAACAGAGTTACGAAACGAATTCGTAACTTTTCCGCGATATTAATATATCACTTGTGTACCTATGAAGGATACAAAGATTGAGACGATGAAAAAGCATTACAGATGTTACACTTAGAGTAGTAATGATCCGGCAATATTACTATTCATTGATAGTTTAGATACAAGTACTCAAAAATTAAGTAGGTAATTTTTTAAAATTTGTTCTTTACATTAAAAAAATAAGCATGAAAATATGAGTCTTTTAATTAAAAAAAAAATATATAAAGTAATTCTATTTTTTTTATCAAAAGAAATTGTAATCGTACAATTATAAATGTATAAAAATTAAGAAGATAACTAAAGCAAATGTGATTTCAAAATGCTTCACTCATAATCTGAGTACTTCTACCTTCTAATTCTCTAATTTCATTTTGGTATTGACAAATGTAAAATCTCGCTTCGACATTTTGAAGTACACTTGAGCAAATTAATTCTTAGAAATTGCTTGTATAAAAGAAAATTAATGATAGTATCAAAGAGTTGACAATTTCGTCGTAAGAGTTTGGATAGAAAGTAAAGAAATGTTAAAGGCTGAGCACTGATAAACGCACTTTCCATACATATGTCGTATAACAATGACAATCTTTTGTTTTTAATTGCAACAACAACGACAGTCTAATCACTAGCACCGTAACATGACATTTATAGTGTCGTTAAACACTCTTTTTCCTCATTCTTTAACTCTTCAATAGCGGAATTGACCTTTTCTACCCATACCGTTGTGATAAACCCTGAGTGGTGTGTAATTTCCATTTCCATTCATCGCTAAAAAAACAGCAATAAAAAAAAGAGTAATAAGATATATTAATAAGACATATTAATAAAAAAATCATCAAACATTGGGAATGTAATATAATGTAACGATAATATAGAATCAATAAATTAATATTGGAAAACTACTCACTTAATTCATATTCCTTAATAGCAGCTTGCATGATAAATTGAATAGTTAGTTCAAATTATCAGTCATAATATTAATTAAATATTATTGTTAATTATACATATAAATCATCAAAACGCCACTTACCCTGTACGATAGTGGGGGGTTGTCGTGGGCCTTGTATGGTGTGTGCATGACATCGCGGTTTTAATAGGCCGTGATATAGGACGAAGTATAAACCGGCAACAGCCGCAGCAGCGACGGCCATACAACGGTAAACGAATCTTAACGAGCCAACGATGTCAGACTCGTTGACGTTGATGTAAGCACCAACCACGGCTCCGATGCATCGACCTGAAATGAATTATTAAAAACGTTCATTACCACAATATACAATGACACATGGATGAATATTGAAATTACTAAATTGCGTGTATGAATTCATCGAGTATAATCTTAAAATTGCATTCAGAATGCATACCAACGCAGAAATGCGCAATCACAGGTAATGCTTGAGCAGTCACAGTCAAGTGACGCGGGACGAGATGTCGTAGGTAAAGAATGGCAGTAACCCACATGATACCTAGCGTGAATACTTCAAGAGCCTCGAAAATTAGAGACCACCAAGGTTCTGCTACGAGGCTTAAACCAGTAAACCTAATATTTTCAATTTTTTAAAATATGTGAATTACAAGAGAAATTTTATTATATAAAAAACTTACCTACCTAATAATATACACAGTGAAGGCAGTGATGAGAAGGTTACTGTGACCACAGTAGTCAACTAAATGTTCAGATTTCCAAAGAAATAGAAACGCTGGAACAGCTCCGACTGTCATAGCTACACTAATGGGAAGTTCGTCAGCTCCTAACTTTTGTAGATGTCTAAAAAGAATATTCTGTCAGTATGATCTAAAAACATCTTATATGATTTTAACTATCCCTTAAAAGATATTTACAACTGTTTGAATACTTTCACGAGTTTCTATATTCATAAGAACCTATCTATATATTTGATTGTTTTACGTATTCATCATGACGACAGTTCGTCGGAACATACATTTACTGTAACTGTACTCTAACAACAACATGAAACGACTACGCAATGACTCTTACAAAGGTAGATAACTATCCATGGCGCTCCAGAAAGTCCCCATAATGATCAGTACAATTACTAGAGCGACAGTTTCACTACCGTATCTCTTGATGGCGCTCATGGGAAGTGCTAACATGCCACTTCTAGTATGCCACCACCATTCCGGTGGACTGAGAGGCATCCCGTTCGCACAAAGAGCTACCAAGGCTGCCAAAAGCATCATAACCACGTGTATACCGATTGGCAAATAATAGAAAGAGTTCAAATTTTCTATAAGAGTGCATAAATAGCCGGTTAGAGGACCGAAGATGGCAAAGCCAAGCGAACCGAAGGCCAACTGTCGTCCTACGTCTCCGCGTCCACAGGATGTTTCTCTGGTGGCTATTACAACTGCTGCATCGATCAGAGCTACAGCCGTTGTTGGGAAAATGTCTGCAGCTGATCGAATAGCTAAATATGTCCAGAATACTAGGTGGGTCCAATCTTCTGTCTGTTGGCATTGGCTCTCTATGAGGACGCTATCTGGAATTAATATATATTACTTATATTTTATATTCAAACTTGTTATAATATTAGTGAGTCAAACAAGTTTCAATTTAGCTTTCATCTCTTTAAATATAAATATCCTCAGTCTACTAATAGTGTAATAAAGAGTAGTATTACCTGGAAGAGTGTATGGATCAGCTAAGCTACATTCAATGGAACAACTCTGATAAACTTCTGCCATTCTGGTTTCAAGTTCAGGAGGTATACGACAAGCAAAGTACTCAGCCAGAGGATATGCACACCAATCTCGATCACTTTCATTGTTCAAGGCTTGTTTCAGAGTAGCATTTATAGCTAAATTGCCTGAATATTTGGTGTAAACATGACAAACAACACTATCACCCTCTTTAAAACATAAATGAGGTGGTTCGCTTTCAGGCATGGTGAATCTTCGCGTTTTTTTCGTTTCTTCTTGTTCCTGCAACATATTTCATATATTTAAATTACTCTATCTTTATACAGTTGAGAACTACAGGGAATGGGCACAATAAATCACATTCTTTATTCTTTATAAGTGTGCAATTTTGAAACTCAATATGTCGTCTCAATCAATCGTATATTACCAAAATTATCTTTTATTCCTTGGCACTTGGTTCAGCTTTTTACCTGCACATTTAGCTGGGCGTATATTTCACTCTCGAGAGGAATCACCGTTGTTTCGCCACTGCCATCTAGAACAATAACATCGGAATTGGTCGTTCCAGAAGTAGTGGAACCATCGTTATCGTCGGAATCCCATCGTTTTGATCCTATAGGGTAACAAGCATAATTGCATCCTTCCAGAAGCAATGGGCCAACTCTGGTTTCGTCAGACCATCTGTGGCAAGAAATATCATCTTTGCATCTTTCTTGCAACACCACCGCTCCTGTTTGATCGCAGCTAAACTTTAGATCAGGTTTTCTTTCTCTTGGAGGTTCAATGCGATCAGCTGTAGGAATCAATAGAAGAAAAGCATAGAAAATGGCAGAGAGGAAGCAGGCAATGGCAATCATCACCCTGAGGTAACGACCAGTTGAAGTTTTGTCGCCTCTTCCTTGATGACCTGCTAACTTATCTGCGATTGGAGCGGCAAACAGAGGCCCTAATATCGCGACTGCTGGCGAGATTATTGAGATCATTCGGATCTGGTCGATGCTCAATCCCATTTCAGTCATGTGTAAAGGAAGAAAAGGGAAGAGACATCCCATTCCTAAAAAGATAATTATGACATCAATATTGGTGGCAAATATTTCAATATTTCTTTATTAGATATGAATAAATATCGCAATATATGTATCTTAACCCAAATATATCTATTATTCTTTCAAAGGTAAGATTGCAAGATCATTATTTGTATCTGTTCTGAAATCTTCGATAACATTGATCATATCTATCTTATTATTTCCTTTACTTTATTTTTATTCTCTATTATATTATTATTTTTCTTGGACAGATGGAATAATAAATTATTTTTTTTGTCAACAAAATGCAGAAAATTAATTAATACATTCTACTTAAATTCTTTTAAAGAATTTTGTTTCTTTTATATTTACAAAATAAATACAAATTCCATAATAATTGCACTATTTGGTCCGCTTCTCATAAAGTTCTCCAATCATGATATTTATTCTATATGTACCTCCAAAAAAGAGGAATAACAGTAGCTTCAACGAGAGAAGATTGATGTTAATAAACTTCTTCTTGGGCAGGTCCTTGGTTGTGTCCATTCTCTCCGTGGACGCCGTGATCGACATTTTATATATATTATAAAGTTTCTCTTAAAAGCAGGTACAAACGATTCAAGATTGACGACCTATGGTCGTCTATTATGCCGATGACCCTCCTTTAATTTCCATTTTTATTAGTCCACTTTTACGTATGTCTAAATCAAAAAGAGAAACTTTTGTTTATTATGAAGGCATTTAGCAAATACAATTTTAATTACGCATTTTGTTTCATAAGTTGAAAAGTTATAGACCTAGAACCTTAACCATACGCTATTGTACGAATATTCCATGGGGCAATGATCAATTTATTTTGAACGGAACAGACCAATTTATTTTCAAGAAGCAATAAGCAATTCATTTTAAACGGAAATGAAATAGCGGCTTTACGATTCGTTTTTTTGATTTTTCAATCCTCTAGTAAAAATGTGCAATTGCACAGATCATCGTGGATCTAGTATACGAGATAGTAGTCAAACTGAACTCACTACATCGAGATGTGGCGGAACGCCGTCCGTTAGAACGCTCAACTTCCGGTGCTCTACCTTATAAATACCTCGGATGCTGGAATCAGAGTATCAGAGAAATTATAAATGAATAAATCGAGTTAAATATTTGACATAAGTAAATTATTATTAATAGTGATTATTTTTAATTAATAGTAATTATTATTTTTGTTTATGGTTTTATATTTTTATGGTTTTATTATGGTTTTCATCCATTCCATTCAGACTCTCCCCTAAATAGTGCTTCGACAACGGTTATTTATCTTCAATCTTATGAACTCTTCCGGATGCGTTCCTGGACTCGCAAATTACACTCCATTCCAAAGATGGCATGGGCCAGACGATCGTGACACAAGTTTCACATACAAATAACCGACCGCTCGATTGTACGACCATACACAAGAGTTCTTCTCTTCTCTTACACGAAGCACGAAAGCGATCAAAGAGGCCGCAGTAGAAACTCGTCGTTCATAAGTTATGAGTTATGAACGAGGACTAAATAAAGAAAAGGACGACCAGGATATCAATTCTTTGGTCTCATCGAGGAACCGCTTCCTTTATTGATAAAAGGAGATACTATCTTGATCTGTATCTTCCGTGTGTATATGAGAGGGTTCATTACGTGATCTGTGTATTATACGTTTGTATGGTGTATTACCCGAAATCTGTTTGATGGAATATATTGTAATTTTATTAAACAGACAAAGAATATTATCTGCGATAAATAGAAACTATTAATTACTTACTAAAGGAAAACAGTTTGTGTTTTACAATTATGAAGACACGATTTATTCAATTTATTGCTTGCGAACAAGAATGGAATTATAAATACCGCGTGCCTCTAAATCATCAAGTATAACGTTTATCATTGAACGTAATAATTTTTTCAATAATTTGTGGGATTTCTTAATTGCTCGTAATTTTGTCATTCTGTCAAAAGATTAGTCTTCTAGATTATCTGTGAAATATCTAGTAAAAACGAACACTTAGTTTTAGCAGGATGGTGCAAATTTCTATGCGTAACCTACTTTTCTCAAGACCGACGTTCTCACGTAATTCTCAATTTTCGCCAGTACAAACGTCTCGTAATCCGCAACTTCCTTATTTTCGTCGGGTTTACGAGAACTGACCCTCGCGACGAAGGTTCTCATCGTTCTGATCGCATTACTACACGTTCCATATTGCATTTCCTTGCTTTTGAGAACTCTATATCTCCTGAAGATTTCCATTCGTTCCGAATGTAACAACCAAAGTTTTCAAACGTTTCCAATATCATGTTTCAAAACTTGTTAGATAAGATGCATAGAACTATCATATTGTATCATGCGACACACACACACACACACTTATATAGTTATGGATAGTTTTTTATATATATATATAATCAATAGTTACATATCTTCCATTCCATGTAATGCCATGTAGCCAACAATGACCGATGCAACACGCTCGAGACCCATATTTCATGCAACTGTACGTGAATTTATTAGAGATATGCTATTGAACACTGTGACGACAGGGTGGAATTATTTAGGTGAACAGATACAATATGGTCGCAACAGATTTTCATCGAATTTAATCTAATTCATGAATAGACCGCGAACTTCAATGTAAATTCATATTTTTGAAAGCATTCGTAAAAGAGAAGAAGTTGGATGAGAACTTGTATCGTATCTTCTTCGCTATTCCAGAACGATCTGATAATTGTAGAATTCACTGTACTATGAGATTCATAATCTTTCACCGTTTGCTTGTTCCACGAACCTGTTCAGTAAGGTTTTCGCTTTCGAGCGAAAGAGAGAAAGAACGATCAGCAAGAGACACGTATATAATTAGCATTATCGGAGTGATCTTTCGATTACAGGGAGACGTCATCATCACGAAGAAATCAGACGATGACGGCATACCTCGTCACCTAGCTCGCTTTCATTCGTCCTCTTACATGGCTCTTCACAATTAAACATCCGTCCGTTTCGTTCAATCATTGTCCTCCCTCGCGGATGTTACCACCAGTTAGTGACCGTCTTAATGCCTTCGAGAAGGAAACGAGAATTACCGCGATAGTTATATAGCTTCAATTATGCAGTCCCCGCTTTCCTTCAATTTCTGGCCCGTCTACTTTTTGGTAACAAGGCAGATTTGTCATCTTGAATAGGTAATTTTAAAAGTAATTCAATTGATTCTTTATCTAGGTATTTTTATATATTTTTCTTTGCACTTTAAGTTATATTTTTTATCATTGATAGAGATAGGCAAAAATCTATGATTTGTTTATTTATGTTTTTCTCGTCAGTGGAGGGGCTGTCTTTAACATTTACGTTTAAGATGGCTATTTATACTATATACGAATCTTTGATTAAATATATGTTCACAATAAATATCTTGCAGCTTCTATACAGATACTCAAATAGATTTTAAATGTTACTAACATAATCGCAATGATGTAAGAAAACGTTACGTTATAAGAAAAGATTTAAAACACGGAAAAAAATATAAATTAACGAATTTCTTTTCTCTCCGATTTATTTCTCCTTTCCGTCAAATTTAAAATTCGATTAATTTACCTTAATTCACCTTCTCACGTCCCACTTGTGTCACACAGTGAATCCCCAATCAATTTAACTTTAACAAGCTTGCTTGTTTAGAAATTGATTTCCAAGACATCTAATTCTTTCTTCATAAAAAATGTGTCTGGTGTCACGTCTAGTTTCTAGGATATTGATTCATAACAGCAGATTAGCTGACTCACCCCATGTGACCCAGAAAATCAGGAAGTCGTAGACCGATTAGCAAACGTATTAGTTTACAGTAATCGATGAAAACAGCATCGGACGTTGATAAACGTTTAACACCCTTACATATTGAAAGTCACAAGAGAAACATGTATCAAGCACATTTTTGCTCACTTTTTGACATTAATGTTATTTTATAATTAAAAGATCTGTTAGGTTCAAAGATATAATTCTTTGAAAAATAACTAATAAGTCGACATTTCGTAGAAGCAAAGGATATAGTTAATTAGTAAGACGATCAATATTTCAATATCTAATATTTTAATGTTATTACGTACAATATTTTGGAAATTTTGAAAAGAATGAACAAATACATGTTTAGGTCCGAAACTAAATTCTATATGGATAACGTGGATAATACAAAATTGACTAATAGCATGCTACGTTGAAGTTGCTGCTCGTAAAAAATAGGAAATATCGCTTATCATGCCAACCTCCTGTAGATTTCATACAGACAATCATTCATACAGGCACAACAAATTTTTACAGCGATTTAATGCAAGACTATGTTAACGAAACGATAGATCGAAATTGATACTAGAATACACTGTACAATGCTTTCTCTATCGGACAAATAAATACTATTTAGCAATAAATTGATATAACGTTCGCGGATGAGATAACGCGGTCATCGATCGACAATAATACCGGTGTATTTTGGGACCTAGCTGAATCTGTGTTCGTACGAATATACGACCGTGAAGTTTATTTTAACGTTGGAAATATCAATAGAAAATTGATACTAAAATTATTCTAATAAATATCACCATGATGCGTGTACAAGAGAAATTTATATTGTAAAATCTTGGAAAATTTAATGAGGAATATTGCTGTCAGTACTGTCAGTACTTGTTGTGCACGAACAGTTAGGGAAAAAGAATTCTCAGAATTATTAAATACTAGGAGCGTGGAGGAAATAAGAAACATATTCCACTTTGTACGAAAGATCATGAAAATAAGAAAATTAATGCTAGTCGAGTCGTAATAAAAATTAAATTAGTACATTACAGCGTGTATCTGCTGTGTCGGGTATACGTCTGAACGTGTATCGATGTATGTAAATATTTATATTATAATGTACGATATATGTAGTGGATATCTACGAGCTACTATGCAATAGGCTGTGAGGCTGAAATCCAAATAAACAACTATAACGAGAAATATTCATCGATAAAAGAGAAGAAATTATACTCAAAAATATTATCGTAATAGACTTAAAAATTCGAGAAATTTATATTACAAAATCTTGGAAGATTAATAAGGAATATTCATCGACGAAGAAGGAGAAAATCATAAAAATATCTTCTCCAAAGAAGAATGAGAAGTCACGTATTCGAAGAAAATGAATCATTTGTATATTATCGAGAAAGTCATTCGACAATTCGCAAAGAAGACATGAGTGAATTATTGCACGAAGTAGAGCGACTGCCGTACAGTTTTATCGGACGGAATTCGCTTTTACATCTGACAGCTCGATTATTATTAAGCCGTGTGAAGCTAAAGGCTATTTTCTACCCCTTTTCCTCTTGCGCGTTACAACGCTATTGTGTTTCTCTCACGCAAATGAGTTTTTGTTTCATGAAATAAAGTACGCAAATGTTGCGTTCGACAGAAATCTACATCAAAGCATATAATCTAATACCTGGAAAATACACAATTCACATTTCAACTTTCAAATATCTATAATCACATTTCCAATTGATAATTATGTAATTTGGTAACTTTTCCCAATTTTGTCTAATTTCTGATCTAATGTCTTCACTTTGGTCCGTGAAATTTGTCTCGTTTTAATCGTTTCAAGCATATTAAAAAATTTAGTAACGTGCGTCACCGATGACCACCACCGTGGCCGTCGACGTTGTTAACCACAAATATTTAAACACAGAAAGCTATTTCTTCCTACAGCCTTGAAACAGTCGTTAAACCCCAATCTCCCTTTGTTTCATATCCACAAGGAGATGGCGAGAACTGAGAAATCTTGCACGAGTTGGCTGTATGTGCGTTCGATACTTCAGGTTGATGGTGAAACAGCCCCAACAGGATTTCAGTGCATGGCGCTTCGCCTTCGAGAAATTATGTTCTTGGTGCGGCAATTTCTTACGTTTTAAACGTTTTCATTAGAACACGCGGGAGTACTATAATAATATCAGAACTAGATCAGCTCTAAATCGGTACTAAAATGAAAAAAATAATCAAAAATTTATCAAAATAGATTGTAAGGCTTTAATATTAAAAAAAAAATAATATTAATATTAAAGGAATATAC